AGAATGGAACCCAATCCTTTGTATTGGGTTAGAATGGACAACAAGTGGAAATGATCAGTTAACACTTTACTTCAAGGGAGGGAAAGATCTCAAACCCTCAACCCTTCCAATATTGAGGGGAAGGCAATTTCTCGAAGCCATTAACCATATTGAGGGGCTGTCTAAGGGAGGGCCTCAAGTCATCTCCTCTCCTCAATGCATAAGAGAGGGCAATGTCTCAACCCATAAATTCTTCACCATATCTAGTGGACAGTGGATGTTTTAACACAACAAACCTTCTCAATATGTGGGGGAGGGAAATATCTCAAGCCCGCCAACTCTTCTTTGTGCTTAGAGGAGGACAAACATCTAAAACCATCGACCCTTCCACATATTCATATAAGCCACCATAATATATTTTTTTCAGATAAATAAGCTGCCATATTATTAATGGGATATAGAAAAAGAAGTATTATTAAGAAAGACACTGGAACAATACAAAAACAGCGAATGAGTTATCCAGCTGAAGGGATAACTAGCAACAAACCAAAACAGAAAAGTAGAAATACAACAAAAAGACATAATAAACTAACAGATGATCACGTGGTTATTGCATCCCAATTCCTGTGAAGGGTAGTAAGGAAGATGTAAGAGAACTCCCCATGTGTGCTGACCCATAACAAAGCCAGAAAAATAATTTTCTCCATAATATCGTGTCTAGAACAAACTGTTTGTCAAATATCTAATGGTTTCTTTCTAACCAAATTGTCCATAGACCAAAAGCTCCTTCCTGTAAGGGTTTTACTTTCTTCCTCACCCCTATACCATCAATATTGGGTTTGATGAAGTATTCCAATGATGAAAGTGTTATCCAAGGTAGTTTAAATGTGCCAAACAAACTTATCCATAGCTTCCACACCATCTCATATTGGAGCCAAAAAATGGCTGTATTTTCCCTCCTCCACAGCACATCACATAAATATCGAAGAACTGAAAATACATATAGATCCGGAGATTCCCAAACTGGTCAACCTTTTGAACTGTTGTTAAATCCATGGGCAGACAAAAAACAACCAGGGAAACTAAAACATCTTCATAATCATCGAAAAAAAAAAAAGCAAAAGTGATTCTCGTATTAACAGCAAGTGAAATGAGAACGACTTAAACTGTGAAACCGGGGTTGTGAAAGAGCGATAAAAACAAAATGCGGTCAGGTGAAGCGGAGGAATGCTGCACCCTAGATGGCGAGTCTCCAATAACCCAAAACATCACTAGCTTATGCATTGACCCGAATAGCATGAGACATGTGGAATCCCATCTAAACCAGCAATAACCACCTTGTAAAACTAAATACTCCTTAGTGATCGATAGCGAAGTAGTACAGTGAGAGAAGGGTAAAAAAACCCCATCAGGCAGTGAAATAGAACATGACACCATAAGCTCCCAAGCAGTGGGAGGAGTC